GCATCAAAAGAAGATGGAAGGAATACGCAGAGTCACTGTACCAAAAGGAAATGGTCAATGTTCGAATGTCTAGTGGGGTGCTGTTCCTGAAGATTCTGTCCATTTAGAAACCTGAAGAGTTCTAGAGCTCTGCATGGCCATATTTATGGTCCCCGGTTCCTGATCACTTTTCATCTCCATGGATTTTGGCCGTTCCTCGTCTTTCTGGGTACTCACTGGTGTTCTCCTAGGCTAGCATGAGTTATTAGGCGCAGAAACGAAAACACCTCACAGTAACAATAATAGCCACTACTTCTCGGCACCCTGCTAGGACACGATCTCTTCAATGGTGAGAGTTTTACCTAGTACAAGTTGCAGGCTCTGACGTGTCCCCACAGGAAGACATTTCTGTTGTAGATGTCCACACCCACGGCTTCCACCCAGGATGGCTCTCTCCTGAGGGTTCAGTCTCTCATGGCAAACATATTACATGCTGGCCTTTGGTCACAAAATGTTCAGAATCAGAGCTGATTCAGTATGAGTTTTTAAATATGTATAATGTATATTTTTGTTGTCCAGTTCCACCATTTCTCCCTGGACCATTCTGTGACGTGGATGGCATGCTGTACATTGGGCAAGCATTCTCACCCTCCTCTCCCTTGTGGTCATTCCCCGTCACCATAAGCACCCTGCCCATAAGTTTTGTCTGATTCCATACAGAGAGTTCTTAAAAGAGCACAGTGCTCACGGTAGATGTTTCTTTCAACTTAAACTATTCTTTTGTTTTCAGAAGATTTCGGGGGATGTCTTTTGGGTTACATTTAAAGAGTATCTCAGGGCAATAGCTTCATGGATTCTTCAGCCTCCACAGTTCTATAGTCTGAATCCCAGGAGGGTTGGCAATTCCGTTCTGCAATCCCTCACTTTCTCATCTATAGCATCACTGATCAAAACATTTAATAATTATAGCGAGGCATTTTAGTGAGGTTGGAAAATCACAATTCCTCAGTGTCTTTTCTATCCATGCACAACAACTTCCAGAAGCATTGATGGAGAAGAAGTCCTAGTCATTCTGTTCCTTCATCGGACACACACATTTGAGCACTGTGCCACTCCACAGGGATGCATCAGATGTGGAATTAAAAAAAAAAAATGGAGTAGGCAGACACCATTCACTGTTTAGCGTTTGGCTGTACTTGGTCAAAATGTGACCATGTTTGATGCCTCTCTGTGTGCATTGTGGGTCTCCTCCCAGTGTATCTATCCTTGTGGTCACTGTCATGTAAATGAAGGTGGGAAATCAAAGCTCTCCACTCCTGAGAAGTAACTTGTTTCTAGAACGTTCTGTGATCTCTAAGTCATAAAGCAGCTTCTCCCTGCATGTGCTTCTACCAAACTAGCATCCAAAAGTTGGTGGGAAAATCGCTTGGTTTTCTCATCCTGGTTTTTTCCCCCCACAAACTCTTTGAAGCCCCTTTGTGCAATGCATGACTGATTCTGTCAGCATGAGCAACACACCTGTCCACACCTTCTATTCAGTGACAGCTGTGGCGGTGACAAGAATGCACATAGGACCCTCGGTCACTGTGCACCTCTCCAGAAATGGAACTCATGAGTAAGCCACCAAGTACTGGTAACAGCCCCCACTGATTGGGAACCTATGGTGCACTGGCTAGAGACACATTCAGTGAGTCATTGGAAGGACTTTGGTTTTAAGGAATTGTTTTAAGAAATTGTTTCTTAAAACATGGTTGTAGGGGCCGGGAAGTCCAAGATTCCCACAAAATCCACAGGTCAGGCCACAGGACGAACAGAGGGATTCTGAGAGGACTTACCATCTGGAAGCAAACCACAGTTTTGTAAAATCCCCTTTTGTCCTCATTGCGTGAACTGATTGGCCAAGGCCCATACACATTATGAGGAGATGTGTTTGCTTGATGTCAGTGACCCTTTCATAACCGAATCTGGAGGAGTGCATGCTAACCCTGGCTGACACCCAACACTCACCATGAAAACCCTTGGCATTTCCATGGACTCCCATGAACAGCACTGATGGAGACACTAATGAATGGTTGCTTTAGTTCACTCAGCAGGGAGAGCCGCTAGCACTGCATTGCATTTGTACAGATGACAGAACTTCAGTATTAGGAGGAAAAACAGTATGCATCGTACATACAACAGTATGTTATCCTTCCTGCTGAGATGTAAAGACCCCACCCCCAGATTTATGTCTGTCAAAGCTAGACGCATTTGCCTGTAGGTTTCCAGTAGTTCCTGCCGTTTTATTATCATTGCAAAAGAAACCGGCCTGTAGATAGATATACTTGGGAGAGGTGACAGCTATTTGCAACCCAATGAATCCGTTTGCCCCTGGACAGACGCTGGACACCTGGGGTCCAGGCAAGGGCTCTGTGTGTACATACGTGTGTGCTCGCGTGCGTGCTGCATGATGCAACCCACGCTGCAAAGGACCAAAGGAAAATCCTCTCTCGGTTTTAACTTCTCGCCTCTTGTTTTCAGAGCCAAACTTCGTGTCCTCTTATGATATCGGGAACTTCACGTACTTCTTCTTCCGAGAGAACGCCGTGGAGCACGACTGTGGAAAGACCGTGTTCTCCCGGGCCGCCCGGGTCTGCAAGAACGACATCGGGGGCCGCTTCCTGCTGGAGGACACCTGGACCACGTTCATGAAGGCACGCCTCAACTGCTCGCGGCCCGGCGAGGTCCCCTTCTACTATAACGAGCTGCAGAGCACCTTCCTTCTGCCAGAGCTGGACCTGGTCTACGGCGTCTTCACCACCAACGTGTGCGTACTCCCCACCCGGGACCCTTGCGGCACCATTTCAGGGGCCCCCCGAACATCAGCCATCGCGCAGACAGGAATTAGCAAGGGGTCGCTTCTCAGAACACATTCCCGAGCTGTGGTGGTGTTGAGTGCCGTCCTGTCGGTTCTGACTCATAGTGATCCTGTACAGGGTTTCTGAGGAGCTGCCGGTGGGTTTGAACCACCGACCTCGTGGTTCCGTGCACTAACTACCCTATGGCGTCACACCAGGCCTCCAGGACTCCTCCGAGGTAACAGTGCTGATAGTCTGCTGGAAGCCGTGCCCTCATCACTGGGCGCTTTCAGAGATCCGAGTGTAGTTCCTGCCATTTCTATACACTGTGAAGCCGCAGTGTGGGAAGATTTTCAGAAGCGCCTGTGCCTATTAAGTGCATTTCTCTCTCCTCATCTACGCATGCGTGCCAATGAAAGGACCTATTCGGTGCACGGCTCGCTCCCCAGCCACGCATGCGTGCTGAATTAAAGGGCTTAGGTGCGCCTCATTCCACAGCTGAGCATGCGTACTGAATGAACGTGCCTATTAGGTGCAAGTCTCCCTGCAGTCACAAAGGCGTGCTGAGTTAAAGTATGAAGTGTGCCTGTCTCTGCAGCAGCGCATGCGTGCCAAGTGAAATTACATATTATGCACGCTTTTCGAGGCGTGCATGCGCACTGAATGAAAGGGTTGTTTGCCAAACGGGCTTTGGAAACTGCCTGGGTTGTCCATGCCACCCCTGTGAACGATGTAAGTGATGCATTCTAAGCACCTCCTTCTCCTTGCACCCCAGCTGCACTCCAAACCAGGCGTCCAGACACTGGCCAACTTGGCTTTCTATCTGTGCCACTGCAGCTGCACTTTTAAAGAGGAGTCCCCCTTCTCACCACAAGGTCGGCTGTTCAAACCCATCAGCCGCAGAAAGATTTACAGCCTGGGAAATGCTGCACAGGGGCGCTCTGAGTCAGAAAGGACTCGCTAGAAGCGGGTTTGTTTTGAGAGGCTTATTTGTGGCGCTGTAGGATAAGCACTCAACCGTAAGGTCGGTTTGAACCACAAGGTTATCAGTTCAAACTCACCAGCCTCTCACCGGAAACCCTACACAGGGTTGCTATGCGTCAGAACCCATTCGACAACACTTAACACTTTTAAAGTAGTTTTGAAAATACAGCCCCTAGTGTTTTGTGTTTTACCTGGGAGGTACTCTACCTCAGACCTGGTCATACATTTGGGGCCAGTAGACATACATCATGTGCCTTTGTGGACTTGGCTGTGTGCCAGGAGGGGTAGGCATTGGACTGTTAATGTAACCACAGACAGCAGTTCAAACCCACCTGTCGCTCCTTGGGAGGAAGATGAAGGTGTCTCCTCCCTGAAGGATTTACAGCCTCAGAAGCCTTGTGTAGGATCGCTGTGAAGCGGAATGCATGCCGTGCTCAGGCTGCGTGACCTCCCAGTTAGTACTGTGTGGAGTCACTCCTGGTAATGACTCCGCAGGACCCCACAAGCTGTGGGAGATGGTCTTTCAGGTTTCTGATCTTCCAGACCAGCCCTTAGGACAAAACTGAGAAGTTTTATCCAGAGTGAAAGATCATCCTCTGGGTGGGTTGAGAGTGCTGACTCGTGGTGTGGGGACCTCAGTGTCACGTTTGCTTTAAGAGTATCCTGTTTTCAGCAAGGATGACCGTCGTGTGTCCTGGAGAGACCCGAGTGCTTAGTCAAACTGTGGGATCTGCACTTGTTGTTGGATTGTTGTCGTTGTTGGATGCTGCTCCTGATTCATGGAGATCCTGTAACCATCCCCATGCAAATCAGGACACTGTGCTCAATTAGTTCTCATTGGCTGATTTTGGACAGTAGAAAGCCAGGCCTTTCTTCCTAGTCTGGCTTAGTCTGGACACTCTGCTGACAGCTGCTCAGCATCACAGCCACACGCAGCCTCTCCACAGACAGACAGTGGCTCTGTGTAAGGGACTGTGGCTGGGACTCAAACCCAGAGGTTAGACCTCTACCCCAGGTCTCCTATGGCCCTGCTCCCTCCAGATCTGATTGTTGCTCCCTGTCTTCCACATCCTGGAGAGTCACTGTTCTTGTCTCCTGTTGTCTTGTTTCCAAGCCCCTCAGCTCGGCCCTCTGCAGAGCTTTTGTGCTAATTGTAACTTGATAATCATGCTTGATCCACCAAGACTCCTCTTTTCCCAGAGATAGAAAAACAGGGGGAATGTGGGAGGCTCCAGGCCCCGGCCCCATGACTGTCCTGATTGTCTTAAGGCCCTCCCACCCCTTAATGAGTTTCTTCAGAAAATCTAATGTTGATTTCTGGAGCCGACATGCTTCCCACGACCCTGTTTAAGAGGCTCTGTGAGTCCAGGAGTGTAACGGGTGGCTGACACCCATTCTGCACACAGTGGGAGCCTGGCTGCTCACTCTTCCAACTCTCTGATCACAAGAGCAATTTCACAAGTTCCAGAAGGGCCCAAGACGCCAAGCAGTTGATTTGGAGAGTCAGCAGTCTCAGAAGGTGTTTAGTGTTGTAGGTTCCTGTCCTAACTAGCAGCATCTCCTCCACACCCCAGCTATTATTAGAAATGTGGGTGTTCAGCATCATTGTGATGCACAAGCCCCCACATTAGGACACACTGGGGGTCTCTGGGCATATCTCTGTGTTAAACCCCACTCCCATTGAGCCGTTCCTGACTCACAGTGACCCTATAGAGGTTTCCAAGGAGCAGCTGGTGGATTTGAACTGCCAACTTGTGGTTCCCAGTCCAATGCTGATCCTACAGCGCCAAGCCTGGGGTCTGAGCTCCGTCTGAGTTGAGTGGAAACTGCTGTTTCCTTGGCTTCTCAGATTGTCTCTGTTCATTGATCCCGGCACACAAGGGTGGGGTAAAGGCTGCTGTTTTGGCTCACCTTGTTTGGGATTTGGTGCCAGCAGTTGGTACACAGGCAGGCTTGTCACTATGGGGCCATCTTGGCTGGTTTGGGGATTTTTTCTGCGTCTTTTCTGGCCAGGAAGGCTGTGGGTCAGTACCAGGGTCTTTATTATTCTTCCTTCTTAAACAGATGAATCATTTAGTAGGCACGTGTGTTCTGCCAGTAACTCCACATAGATCCCGGAGCAGACTCGGGGGGTCTGGGGGCCCCAACATCTCTCTTCAACCATTAGGCTCTGAACAAGTTAAAAAATAAATAGGGCACAAACGTACAGGGACCAGGCACTTTGTTTTTTCCAAAATGTTCATCCTGGCTTGTCTTGTAAAGGATGACAAATGAACGCAAGTATCTGGGCATTCGGATACAACAAGCTGGCCAGCAGCCAGCTGAAGCAGTCGGCAAGCCAGGTGGGAGGAGGGGACAGTGGGCCTGAGGGACTCTCTCTTACTGAGTTTGAAAGACATAAAACAGAACAGACCAGACCAGGCCCCTGCCCCCAGTGAATTCCGACTCATGGTGACTGGGCATATGGCAGAGTGGAACGGCCCCTTTAGAGGCTCAGCTCACCAGCCCTTTCTCTCGCTGCACTGCAGGTGTGTTCAGATGGGTCTTCTTCACATTGTTTGTTGACTGCACACAGATGGTAGTCCACACAGTTCTTCTTGTCCCCTGCTGCCTGCATTTGGGCTGCAGGAGACCAGGGACACAGCCGCCAGATCACCCTGCTCCTCGGCTAGTCTGTGTGCCCCGTGGCATAGAGAGCCCGGATCACACAGGCGCTGACCAGACTCCATCCTCTGGCGGTCTCATGTCGGTCCTGTGTCTGGGAGCTCCTGTGTCCCTCCCCAGGCTGTGACTGTCTCCCTCCCGCTTTGTCCCCAGGAACAGCATCGCCGCCTCGGCCGTGTGCATCTTCAACCTCAGTGCCATCGTCCAGGCCTTCAACGGGCCCTTCAAGTACCAGGAGAACTCGCGCTCTGCCTGGCTGCCCTACCCCAACCCTAACCCCAACTTCCAGGTGAGCTCGGGCAGAGGCCATTTCCCCACAGACAGCCAGGGAGACTCCCCTCCTGGGCAGTAAGCCTGGCTGGCCCCGCTCAGCTACTCTCCATACAGCCTCTGATCTCCTGGGATGCCTGGGGGGACTGACGCCTTTGTCCCCAGGGAGCCTGGAAAGTAGCCTGGAAAAGGCCAGTTTTCTCAACGGGTTTTGGGCCTCAGCTTCAATTAGTGCTAATGAGGGAGGGCTCTGATCGTTAATGAATGAGCCCTGTGAATGGGGTCCCGGACAGAGCGGTGGAGACACACAGTCAGAATTAAAGCGCTAATTGCTCTGTGGTGGCATTTCCTGTTGGGGCGTGAGGTGAGGGGGTGGATGGGGGAGAGATGTTCAATCATAAATCACAAGAGGTCAGGATGCACCAGCTGAGCCGGGCTTCATCAGCCCTCCCTCCCACCTCCCGTGTCTGAAAGGAGCTGGGGTACCTCAGGGGTGTGAGGTGTGCTCACAGGAACTGACCAGCAGCCTCCTGTCTGTGAGAATGCTCTCATGATTACCATCCTACGGGGCTGCAGCAGGCCCCGAAGTGACTGCTGACCTTCATGGTCCCTTCCGTGATGGAACCGGAACCCAAGTCCAGAATTCAGACACAGCTCACTGGCCCATGCAGGAAACCCCGGCCTTCTGAGGAAACTTGAGGTGGAAGGATTCCATCACTCACAGGTTATCTGGACCAATGGAGTTAGTCACCCCAACTCCTGGTGACCCCATGTGTATCAGCGTAGACCTGTGCCCCGGAGCCACATCCTGTGATGGCTGATTTTCTGAGTAGATCACCAGGCGTTTCTTCCAAGGAACCTCTGGTGACTAAGCATGCTCACTGTGTGTCCCGCTTAGGGACAGTTCAATCCTAATTGCTCTGGGAGACTGATTGATTTACTTTAATTTGTGGATGAGGAGACTGGATTACAAGTCAACTTCATGGTTGTCTGTGTTCCTGGGTAAATGATGGGCCATCTTCAGAGCATCCTCCCGCTCAAGAGGGAGGGAGGGTAGATGGGTGTATGGCAGTCGGTTCTGCTGGCTTCGATGACAGGGCTGTGTTTAGATAACATAGACAGGTCATGTCTTCCACCCCTGATCTGAGGAGCATCAGTCATTAACTTGTGCCAGGATTTAAAGTTGACGGAAAGAGCCGGGGGAACGCGTGGGGCTGTCTGACCCCTCACCTCTGTCCTGTCACCCTCAGCACTCTTGGAAACTGGGGCGCCCGTCTCGTCTCCTTTCCATCTTTTCCGTTCTTTGCTTACGCTGCTTCTTTCTCCCTCCTTGCTCCTTGCTCTCCCCTCTCTCCCTCTTTCCTTGTAAGTTTGCCCTGTGTTCTTTGTGGGATTTGTGGATTTGGACTATGGTTTATGTCTCCTCTAACTTGGAACACCAGTACAAAGCGAAGGGTCCTGGAGAGCTTCCTCGTTGCCCACGGGAATGACATTTCAACAGCAGGACACACTCAGTCTTAAGAGTCCATCGCGCTAGCTGGAGAAGTAATCAATCTGGGCTGTGTCCTGAATGCTGTGCTTGCGATCTAGAGCCTGGTTTATCAGATAGAGATTAGACAACTCCCAGGTGACCGTACAGAAACCAAGGAGCTCTGTGCACCTGCTACTGAACCCCTAGGACACACGACTCCAGGTCGCTGCAGGTGCTGATGGTGCGTTGGGGTCCAGGAGTCAGTTCCAGCGAAACACTGCCTGGTCCTGTGCCGTCCTCACAATCACTCCTACACTGGAGGCCCTGGATGCTGCCCCTGTGCCAGTCTATCTCAATGGGAGTCTTCCTCTTTTCCCCTGACCCTCCATTTACCAAGTGTGGTATCTTTCGTCATGGACCACCCCCTCCTGATAACATATCTAAAGTATGAGAGAGAAATTCTCACCATTCTCACTTCTAAGGAGTACTCTGACTGTATGTACTATGTCCAACACAGATTTATTTATTCTTCTGGTAGTCCAAGATACTTTTAATATTCTTCTCCAACACCGTAACTCAGGTACATCAATTCTTCCCTTGTCTTCCGTATTCCTTATTCTGCTTCCACATGCATATGAGACATACCATGGCTTGGGTCAGGCGCAATTCAGTCCTCAGATTGACATCTTTACTCTTTAACACTTTGGAGTGGCCTTTTGCAGTAGGTTTGCCTAATGCTATATACGTCCTTTGATTTCTTGACTGCTGTACTGACGTTGAGATCCCAGTCAGCAATGACTTTTCGCTCTAACCGTGTACGCTCCCCTCCAGGCTGACTTGGGAGACTCTTCAGTTATGATGAGTTTAAATCTGGAATGGGGGAAACTCTCAGGTTGGGGATAATGGGATGTGCCTGTGGACTGTTCACTTTCCGGTCTTCCTCTGGCTGGACTGGCCGAGTGGAAGTGGGTGTTCCAGCGGCCAGTGCCATGACGCCATCTGTCTTTCCTGGCAGTGCGGCACCGTGGACCAGGGTCTGTACGTGAACCTGACCGAGAGGAACTTGCAGGATGCCCAGAAATTCATCCTGATGCACGAGGTGGTGCAGCCCGTGACCTCGGTCCCCGCCTTCATGGAAGACAACAGCCGCTTGTCCCATGTCGCCGTGGATGTGGTGCAGGGGAGGGACCTGCTCGTCCACATCATGTACCTGGCCACAGGTAGGAGCTCCCCCTCCTGAGAGGTGTTCAATTGTAAACAAACCGACAGTTCCCCGCCTTCTCTGGCCTCCATCAATCTACGCTTATCATTTTGGAAATCCATTGTACCCTTCTTCCCACAAGCTCAGCCATGATTTTAATCAGAAGACAAGCCCGGGGTTCCTGAGTATTGCTGCTGGTGAATGAGTCCTCGCTTGGCGAGAACCTCCTAATGCTGAGAGAATGAGACAGGAGCAGGCGTTGTCCCGGGAGCGAGCGGGAGGGGCAAGTGTGGCTCTCAGGTTGTCTCCACTGTAACGGGAGTCTCGAGGCACATTCTGTAAACAGCTCGGGGGGCCCAAGGCCAGCCCCCATGGCCTCCTCTGAGTCTGCACACTGACCCACTTTTTCCTGTCTTGTGGTTCTCCCCAGGGAGTCCCTTCAGGATCATCTCCCAGCCCCCACCGCTCTTTGTCCACTGTGCAATACCATTGGGATCTTCCCAAGGAACACAAGTCACATGACAGTCGTTGTTTTAAAATAACTGGTCCTTGGTAGAACTTCCCACTTTATATTTACGTATTTATCACTTATTTTTTTTTACATTAGTCACCAGGGGTAGATTACCAAGTTTATAATTTATCAAGTTCATTCTAAACACTGGGTTGACATGGTGCCTACATCTCCCAGGACTGTCATCAAAAGTACCAAGCAATGCTGCTGTTGTTGATAGGTGTTGTCGTGTGGCTTCCTACTTCCTGTGACCTAATAGCCAACACCAACAAACACTACCCGGTCCTGCGTCCTGCGTCAGTCACCACCACTGTTACATTTGCTCCCTTCACTACTGCCACTGTGCCAATCCCCGTCTCATTTTGTGTGTGGTGGAGGGGGGGCCTTTGTCTTTCTTGCTGACCCTCTACTTTATCCAGCATGTTGTCCTTCTCCAGGGACTGGTCCCTTGTGACATGTCCGAAGTCCGTGAGACCAAGTGTTTCCATCATTGCTTCTAAGCAGCGTTCTTGTAGCATTGTGGCAGTCCGTGGTATATTCGATATCCTGTCTCAATACCATAATCCCAAGGCATCTATCCTTCAGTGTTCCTTATTGACTGCCCTGCTTTCACACACCTGTGAGACTCTTAAAAATACTATGGCTTAGGTCAGGTGCACCGTCGTCCTCAGAGGGGCATCTTTGTTCCTTAATACCTGCAAGAGGTCTTTAGCAGCAGATTTGCCTAATGCGGTATGTCATTTGATTTCTTGACTGCTAATCCGTCCGTCAACTGGTTGCACTCTGGTGGCTTGTGTATTGCTGTGATGCTGGGAGCTGTCGGTGGTATTTTAAGTACCCAGAGTCCCCTGTGGTGGACTGGTGTCGGCGGACCTTCCAGACTAGGATGGAGAGGTGCACTACCTCTGAATGGCTGGCCACTGAAACCTCAAGAAGGGCAGCAAAACACACCCATCGTGAGGATGGTGCGGGACCAGGCAGTATTTTGTCCTGTTGCACACTGTACCTGTGAGTCGAATTCAATTCAGTGGCATCTGACAACAATCGCAGTGGTGGGTGATGTGCCGTGGAGTCGGTTCCGACCCATAGCAACCCGGTACAGGGTTTCCAAGGCTGTACATCTCTACGGGAGCAGATAGCCTCATCTTTCTCCCACGTAACAGCTGGTAGTTTCGAACTGCTGATCTTGAGATTAGCAGCCCGACTCGTCGTCACTACACTGCCGGACCTCAGGATGGTGTTGTTAAGTGCTCAGTTACCCTGCACGTGATTTCTGAGGAGCAGCTGGAGAGTTTGAACCCTGCTGACCTTGCAGTTCAAACCAGTGCTTATCCTACAGGGCCACACTAGGACTTCACCCACCAATAAGGAGGTGGTCTCAAACAACAAAGATTTCTGTCGCTCTCATTTGGATCGGGGTGTAGCCCTGTTGAATCATTGAGAGGCTCAGAGAAGAAGCTTGTCCGAGTCTGTCCAGACGTCTGGGTCCTGTGGACTTTCCTTGGCATCTGTTGGTGCTTGTGCCTTCACACAGCATGCTCCCCGGCGTCTGCCCTTCACATTAGAGGATCAGAGCGGGTCACGTGAGCACCTGCCCTTGTCCAGCATGCCTTTCATACGTGATAAGTAGGACTTTCCAGCCACATTGTGAAGCAAACTTTCTGCCCACAGCCCTCTCTTCAGCTGCATGCAGTAATCCATTCAAACAGCCACACAGAACTCAGACTCTGACTCACAGTGATGGGATTTGTTAGGTAAGGTAACAGGTTACAACACAGGACATGGACACAGTCTCTGCAGTCAGCTGTTGATAATGCCCACAGGACACCATGGCACCGTAAGCTTCAGGTTATAGGCACTCGGCTCTAGGTTTGCGGGTCTGCAAACCCCGCTCCCCTCCACAAGCCACCTTTGTGCCCTTCCTCTCTCAGCTGGACTTGCTTCATGCGCCTGGAAGCCCGCTGCTGCCCTCGCCCCCTCCTCCGCTCTCCCAGCTTTCTGTCCTCGGATCGAGGAGGTTCCGTATGGAAGATCTCAGGGTCTAAAGGATGTACTCCACCATGCCTCCCCTTTGATGGTAGTGAGACGCCTCTCCTGTTTCTGAGGTGACTCATTTTAATCCCGTGTTCGAGTGCCGAGTTTTCACAATTACAGTGAACTCCACAAACATCCACAGGGGAAGCATGACGTCCGTTCAGTAGGTTTTCCTCCTTCGTACCCATATCAAAGGAGTCCTGTTACCATGTTGGGTTATGAACTAACTCATACTCACAACTGGACTGCTCACTCCAACGTTGGTGTAGTTCGAATCGACCAGTCACTCCTGTAAAGATTTGCAGCCTCAGAAACCTTATGCAGGGTCACTAGGAGTCAGAACTGACTCGGTGGAACACAACCATCACCGCCCAGACCTATGAGGAACAGTCATTGAGTGGGAGTTACAAAGACAGCCTAGAAGAGACGGATGAAATCATTGACTGCGCAGCAAACATCACCTTTCAGAATCAGGATGTGAACTTCTATACTTCCGGGTGGTTTTTGTGGTTTTTAAATAAGACTTTGTTGTTTTTAGGTACAAGTTTCCTAACAAATCAGTTTTCCTATTCCACAGCTCATACACAGATGATTCCATGCCTCTCCCATTTCTACCCTGGCGTCCCCGGCCCTCCAGTTCCTCTCCCCTCCTCACTTGCTGCCCGTGTGTCCTCAGAGGTGACTGTGCTCAGGGACATATGTCACTGTGTCAATGACGACTTGACAGGCCGTCTAGTGTTTGGCTGAACCTTGACCTCCTGGAGAGGCCTCAGTTCCAGGTCAGAAGGGTGTCTGTCTTCAGGCAACTGTCTCCGGACTTCCTCCGGTCTCTGCGTGTCTGGGGAACCTGGTTTATTTTTATAAACTGGGGTTTTGAGCTGCTTTTTATTTCCTTCAGCATAGTGGTTACGAATCGGGCTGGGAACCTCAAGGTTGGCAGTTCGAAACTGCCAGCTGTTCCACGGGAGAAAGATGAGGCGTTCTGCTCCCGTAAAGATTTACAGCCTCGGAAACCCTGTACAGGATCGCTATGGGTCAGAACCGACTCCACGGCACTTAACAACAACAACAAACCTGGGACCTCCTTCTGCGTCCTGGTCACAGAGGTCGGGTCTCAGGCTACGAGAGGCAGTGGATGGTTGGACTGTCAGTCGTGTTGCGTCCTTGGTTTCTTTCCTTCCTGGCTCTGGAGGGGAGACCAGCAGCGGTAGATAGTGTGGTTCGGCAGGTTTGCCATGTCGCGGTTTCTTTCTTTCCCTCCTGGTTTGTGGTCAGTGTTCTACCTGGTGGTCAGGCCCAAGGCCTCCCTTCCTCCACCCCTGCCCCCACTGCAGGCCGGGGCACGAGGACTCCAGTGAGCCAGGTGGGCTAAAGCTTGCTCAGAAATCAAGACCTTGGGAGTATGGGAAGAACAGAAACAGGAGTGAGCAGGTCACCCTTGTTTCACATGGGTACGGCATAGCCTTGCCCACAGACACACACGTGGAAACACGGATACGGCATAGCCTTGCCCACAGACACACACGTGGAAACACAGCTACAGCATAGCCTTGCCCGTGGGCGCACACGTGGTTGCCCACAGACACACACGTGGAAACACAGATACAGCATAGCCTTGTCCACGGATGTACACATGGAGACACGAATACAGCATAGACTTGCCCATTGACCCACATGTGTAAACACGGATACGGCATAGCCTTGCCCATGGATGCACACGTGGAGACGTGGATACGGCATAGCCTTGCCCACAGACACACACGTGGAAACACAGCTACAGCATAGCCTTGCCCATGGGCGCACACGTGGAAACACAGCTACAGCATAGCCTTGCCCACGGACCCACACATGGAAACATGGGTACGACATAGCCTTGCCCACGGACCCACACATGGAAACACAGATACAGCATAGCCTTGCCCACGGACCCACACATGGAAACACGGATACGGCATAGCCTTGCCCACGGACCCACACGTGGAAGCATCTCATTGCTTTGTATTGTGCAGACAATTGCCACTCGGACAAGCCTACAAGTTGGACAGCGTCAGGTTGCCTCATATGGTTCCCAAGACCGTCCTCCTTACAGGAGGCCTCATCCCTCTCCCAAGGAGCGGCCATTGGGGCTGAACTGTGGGCCTTCAGGTGAGCAGCTGAGCGCTTGGCTGCTGCACCACCAGGGGAGGCATTTTCTGTGTCTGTCAGCCAAGGCTCCTCTCGCCTCCTGTGCTCTGAGGTCTTTGGGGGAAACCTCTCCTCTTTCTGGGTGGTCTTCCTTTGACCCTCAGTGAACGCTGCCCCAGGCCAAGGAGTCTCAGCCCGTGTCCTGCAAGCCTTCAGCTACAGGGAGTGATTTTGGGGTAGAAATGAGAGGGCGTGTCATCTGTTCTGAGCCTCACACCCCACCTGGATCCAGGGTGGTGCAGTCTCAGGTTGCAGCCACCCTCTTGACCCCATGAAGGGATGGGGGCCAT